GCGTAAAAAGACAGTATAAGTCATTATAATCAGTAATTATGTCCCCACTGGATGCAACAAATGCCTCGTTTGTAATGGGTTTTAATATTTATGTCTCGTAGCTCCGGCCGGACAGGGCATCAACAGTATGTGAGGGGCGTAACATTTTCGTCTCACGCTTGAGGTATTCGGCCAATCACAACGCATTAGATAGCTGACCAATCAGAGCACACCTGGCTTTTTCAGACCGATGAGCTTTGTAAAAATCGACTCGTTTCAGAAAGGCGGGGCATAGAGGAGAAACAATAATGTACAGTATGTGGAAAATAATGTTGTTTTTTTTTACTTTAAACCGCATAAACACATTTCATTACACCAAATACACAAAATAATGTTCTTTTTAGCAGCATCATATGACCCCTTTAAAATTGCTTATTTCTCTGGATTTAAACATTCTTCGAAACATTTGGGATAATGTAAGTACACAAGTCAGCAAAATATATAACACTGTTCTAGTGGTTTTTGGATATTTTAATAACAAAAATCTTACATACTGTGCCTTTAAGAGGCGGGGTCTTACAGAAAAAGTGGCGATGCTTTGGGTGCAGTCAGTCCTTGGGATCTGAGACTTTACTCATTCAGAGTTGGATGTTAAGTACGAGAAACTTTAAAAAGAAGAGATTTCTGACTGTGAGTAAAGAAAGTGAACAGCTGTTGCGAAAAAGGAACTGAGTAAGGAAAAGACAGAGTTTGTAAAGGAAACTTAAATCTGCGAGTTGAGTGAACTCAAAGTGAGCGAGTGCAAGCCGGCGTGAGAAGATGACGCAATGCGTGGCTTGTGGACTGTGCAATAGGATTTTTTTCTTCGCTGTTACATCGTGTCTTTGGAATCTGTGAGTATTCAACTTAAATGATTTTAGCAAATGGCTGCAATATAACAAAGAGTGAAAAATTTAAGGGGGTCTGAATACTTTCCGTACCCACTGTATATGTGGATTTAAACCGGCAGCCATATCACCCTGTAGCCCAAGACGGGTTGCCCACTAAAGCTAAGCAGGACTGAGCCTGGTCAGTACCTGGATGGCAGACCTCCTGGGAAAACTAGGTTGCTGCTGGAAGAGGTGTTAATGAGGCCAGCAGGGGGTGCTCATCCTGTGGTCTGAGTGGGTCCTGATGCCCCAGTATAGTGACGGGGACACTATACTGTCAACAAGCACCGTCCTTCGGATGAGACGTTAAACCGAGGTCCGGACTCTCTGTGGTCATTAAAAATCCCAGGATGTCTTTCGAAAAGAGTAGAGGTGTGACCTCGGCATCCTGGCCAAATTTGCCCATCGGCCTCTGACCATCATGGCCTCCTAACAATCCCCATATCTGCTAATTGGCTTCATCACACTGTCTCCTCTCCACCAATAAGCTGGTGTGTGGTGGGCGTTCTGGCGCACTATGGCTGTTGTCGCATCGTCCAGGTGGATGCTGCACACTGGTGGTGGACGAGGAGATACCCCCTGACAATGTAAAGTGCTTTGAAGTGCCTAGAAAAGCACTATATAAATGTAATTAATTATTATTATTATTATTAAATTGGGATTGTAGTCGCCTTTTGAGAATCGCAGTATTGTCACTTCCTGATTTTAAATAAAAAAAACACTAAACACTCAAAGTGTAATCTGAGATCTTGGGTTTTGTATCTAATAACTACTGCTTACTTGGTTGGTGATTCATTTTACAAACTAAATTAAACTTGGGATGTGGCTGGCACTATTTATTTGGAATTTCCCCTATATGTGTTTATAAATTTGAGCCATAACATTGGTGAGAGGGCTACACAGTAAATACATTTCCATAAAAAATATTAAGCAGTTTCTAACATTGATAATAATAAGAAAAGTTTATGAGCACAATGTCGGTGTATTAGAATGATTTCTGTGGATCATGTGACACTGAAGACTGGAGTAATGGCTGCTGCCATTCAGCGTTGCATTACAAAAATAAATTACATTTAAAAATACAAACAGAAAAGTGCTCTTTTAAATTGTAATATTTTACAATATTATTGTTTTTATTGCATTTTTTTTGGTCATTTATTTGCAGCTCTGATAAGAAACTTTTGAGTGGTAGTGTATTACAAAAAAAATTCAATAAACTTATTCGTACTTGGCTATTTGGATGTCAGGCTCAAAATGAGTACATATTATTTTACCGCATTTTCAAACCCTTTCTCTGTCACACAAAACACCCAACAGACAGACCATTTGAAAAAAAAAATTTTTTAAACTTTGTTCCCTCAATGAAAATTTTCAGTCTTGAGACGTGATCTGATGAAAAATACAAACAGTGCTTATTTCTACTGTCCAATCCATCTCTGGCCATTACACTCAGAGCTGTCCTCAGTTCTCCTCCATGTGGGATAATGAACTGTAAATACAACTAAGAGTAAAAAGTAAAATAAAGAAATTACTCGAGCGTTCTTTTCAATTGCTTGAACTTGTGTCCTTATGTGACACATTGTATCTTGAAGATACCATGTCTGTTAGCTTTTAAGCCATCGATAAGTGAAAATGAATAATTTCTCAAATTTCAAAGAACTTGTGGTGTCAGATGGCATTTTCCCACCCGTCAGTTTCTGTGCTTGACATATGTGACTGTCTGAACACATCAGTTCAATGATATTTTGCAATCTTCAGTGTCTTGGAGTCACAAGTAACTGCAGTGCTTCCAGGTAAAATCAGAGCAAAGCGAGAAATGAAGCATGGTCTCCATCTATATGCTGCTTAAACAGGCAATTGGACTAAACCATTTCATTCAGGAAAGAGGGTACTTCATTATTTTTACTAGTTTCAGTGATTTAATTGCCAATTAGTTAAATTTTTGTTACTTTTGCGTTTTTATGTAAATATACTAAATTTGTAGGGCTGTGCGATATTGAAAAAAAATGCGATACGCGATACCGTGTAAAAAAATGCGATATTCGATATGCGATACGCTATTGCTTAAAGTGTGAAAAATCTATTAAAATTATATTTTAAAATATTTAAAAATGAATATTATATAACCAATTTGTTTCACATTCTTTCTTGGAAAAGAAAGAATCACTACAACTTCTGAAAGTGACCAGCAGTGTTTTAGCAGTACATAAAAAGTAATGTCACAAATCAGAAAATGTAATTTTAACATCAATGTGAATGACAAAAAAATGAATGACACTAATTTTATATCATTGTGACTTTGCTTTCCACACACTTTAAGTACTTCTTCATATACCACAGCAAAAAATATAGTCTGAGAAAGTTCAAACATGATTAAAGGCAAGTGAACAGTCAGTAAAAAAAAGAAAGAAAAAGGGGGAAAGAAAACAAATACACAATTTACAAGCATAGATAAAATAAATAGTATTCAGGTACAGAAATTTAAAAATTAAGTGTAAAATAACACTGCATTGTGTACACTGTATGAATTAAATTTAGATTAATCTTTGTTATAGCTGTTTTGTTGTTTGATTAACATTAGTGACATATTCAGCAGCACATATTTATAGGCTGCTTTCCCTTTAAAACTGACTGCACGGATCCAGTATAATGACACACGTCCGATTTCTTTCTCAGCTGTTTACATTCATTTAAAAAATAACCAACTGCGTTTATAAGAATGATCGTCGAGACGGGTACTATTGACATAATTCTGTGTGTACTTATTGCACTTAACTCTTCTTAACGTCAAGCAATTCTCTGCTATATGCCTCAAACAAAAACATTGACCTTTTGCAAAGTTTTGATTTAAGTAGCCTATTATTAAAACGATTCTGATATCGCACGCCCTTGAGATATGAATATCGTGATATTTACATTTGCGATATTTTGATATTTTCGATATATCGTGCAGCCCTAATTTGTACCTTTATTTTGTGTTTTTGGTAGAGTCAGGTCTTACATTTCACTTCTGGTTATCTTACATTTCAATATATATAACTGAGTATGTGACAAATAAAATGCTATGTTTACTTATTGTTCCTCAGGGGTATGAATGATATTTTAAAGTTATAGTTTAATTTTCAGGAGTTGCTTATTTCCTCAAGATTGTAAATTAGCATTTTCTTACAGCATTTAAAATTTATTTTTTTCCCCCCCCCCCCCCCCCCTCTTTTTTTTCTTGAACTTGAAGAATCTTGACAAATTAATCAAAACAAAATATCACTTCTTGTCTCCATTAGATTCAGCAACTTTATCAGTCTGTCATGTCATCTTACTGATTATAATTATGGATAGATTTATAGTTTATTTAATAGAATTGTCATTTTGAAACCAACAAAACGATTTTGATCAAGAAAATTTTTTTTTCAATCACATTTGCATTAATATTATGCAGTCAGAGGTCCATTTACTTCATAGTTTACTACATGTCATGGTTGGCTGACAATCACTTTTTAAGGTCAGCATATTGGCTGATACCCACAGAAAGAGAAAGAGTGCGAGATTATGGGTACAGCAGGACCTTTACTGCCTTTTCACTGAAAATGTTAAATGGGACTCTGGGCTACATGTCAACAAAATCATCCGCTTCTACTATTTTTAATAACATTAGGTTTTGGATGAATTGAGTTGGCTAAACTGCATCATAATTAATGTGTAACTATAAATAAATCTGAAGTATAAAAAAGTAAAAAAGTTACTTCATGTAACCAAAAAACTCTTTCTGCCTTTTTAATTTCTCCATTTTTGCACAGCCTTTGTACTCCACAGCTGGTGTTTACTTTTTAAATCCTGTACTGCAGTGCTGCTAATATTGTTTTCTCCTGTATGATAAATTGCTTGGGCTTTTCCACATTTTACACAAAAGTATTTGCTAAGTGATTAAATAAAAAGAAGCACTTCCCCAGAATCTACTGTTTTACTTCCCAACACTCTTTAACTTTGGTCTTCCTAGACAGAGCAGAAATACATTTTTCATCAACGACTCAGTTTAAATAAGCAATGAGCCTGCTTAGTATTCAGCACATAGAAGATTAAAGGAGAAACCCGGAAAGGACAAACTGTCCATGCATTACAGCATGGAATTTCCTCAGTGCCCCCCTCAAGAGAAAGGGGTTTCACTAAAGAGATTAATCAGATGTCTGTGATGCTCACACAAAACAGTTGCATATTTCAGCTGTACTACATTTGAATCTTTCGCTCTGCTCCAGAACCTAATAAGCTGCGTATTCTTCACCAAGAAGGCAATCCCAGAGTGCACTGCTGGATAAACACAATCTCACAGGACCAGATTCTTACCTAAACCTCTGTTTTGGTGTCTGTCTCTCAGGACTCTTGCACAGATGGCCGATGTAATACAGAGGAAAGAAGAGGCAGTTCCACGTGGTGGCGAACCATGTGAGAGTGAACGGTGCGTCGTACTGCTTGAAGGTCAGTTTGGCCAGCTGGGTGGAGCCTGCCCATGACGAGCACACGCACATCACCATGGCCACTCCCCATATTGCTTTTCGCACTTGGACGGCTGTCACTCGCACACAGCAGTTTAATCTCTGCCTCCCCGGCCCTGCCTCTGCCCCAGCTCCGCCCACCATCGCCTGTCCATCGGCAGTGCCCACAATGTTCTCCCTCGGCCGGTCCTCCCCTACAAGCAAACAAAATGACATCAGATCATTTGAATCAAATCACTTGACACTGTAAAAATACTCCCCTTAACTTCTGTAAAACAGCAGATTGCACTATTACAGATGTACAGTGAAAGTTTTCAGTGATGCACTACACATTTGGATGCAGTATTTACAACTGCAGTTATTCTTGTTGTAAATATCATATTTTCACATTTTTGGCTCTCATTATGCTTTTCAATTGGGTCATCTTTAATTCATTTTTTAATTTGTATTATTTTTGCATGTGACCGTTTAATCTTAGAACTTCAAAAGATGGAGAGACTAAAAAAGTGTGGATTTTTATTTGTATATATTTTATATACATATTTGCATTCAATTAGGCTATATATACTGTATATATATATATAT